GCTTACCTGTAACTGGTGATCTTCGAGTGGTCATCTGTGCATTCACACCACCCGCCCTCCTTCCCCTCTGCTCTCGGCCCTTCATCTTGTTTTTTGAAGGCTGTTGGGCGGCGGTCAGAAGGAACTGGCGGGATCTGCGTGCCCCTCCTTGGTCATGCGCAGTGGGGCCGGCGCGTGACCTGGGAGAGGCGCGAAAATCCCTTTTGCTAGCTACTGATACCGAGCAGGGTCAGCGCAGGCGCAGTCTATCCCAAGGGTGTGAATGCACAGATGACCACTCGAAGATCACCAGTTACAGGTAAGCAACCTGTCTTTGTTGATACATCTCTATTATCTTAATAGTAAAACATGAAGATTACTAATGCAAAAGTGTCAAGCAAGCAATCACAATCTCTTTAGCTAAGATATAAATATCATAGAATTAAAGTTATGCATTAAAAATAAACATCAGGCTATTAATCTGTTTTGCAAGTTCCTTTCCTCTTATCAAAGTCCAAATTGGTTTTTAAATGGTTTAGGGGCAACAGCCCCTAATTCTGCTTCAGGATCAAAGAGTTTTGCCAGATTCTTCGAGATGGTATCACAGTCTTCCTCATCTTTCTCCTCTTCTTCTTCTTCTGTGGCTTTCTCAGGTCCATCTTCCATTTTCTGTTGTTGCTTCAGGAACATCCGCTTTATTTATTTCTCGCTGAAATTTCTTTAAGTTCCTTTTGTAACGTATCCAGCTTGACGTTAAGGTTGGTCATCTGGTCCAGTAGAGGGCGTAAAGCTACAGCAGTCAGTTTGGGAAAGTCTGTGGTTACTTCTGGTCTGGTAGCCAGCAATGCTGTGCTAGCAGTTTGTATTATAAGTATCGCTTTCGACGCCATTTTTCCTGCTCGTTGTGTCATTGTTTACATAAGAGGAAAGTTTAAAAGTTCTCCATAAGTCTGGATTTTATCGCTTTCTTGCTGGTCCGTCGCACACTTCATCGTATTCTGCTTCCTTCGAGCCGTCCTTTCAGCCTCCCGCTTTAAACTCAGTCATTTCGGGATCGGGCCTTCCCTTGCCCCTTCCGCTTGTTTGGGGCGGCTTTACTAATAACATTTTATCGATTGTTTGCTGGATCATGGCTTCACTCAAGTTTGTACTTGCGTTCGCTTGACATGTAGAGAGGATAATTTCTTGGGATCCTTATACGCTCTGTCCGATGTGCACCTCTTGGTGCGATGATGGCTCCGTGCCGTGGGGGTCTATCGGGACAAAAAGGTGCCTCAATCCTTTGGCTTCTGCCTTGAGAGAGGCACCTCTCATGCCCCAGGCTGTGACCCCCCCCTACAAGGGGCCTGGGGGTCCAAGATCAACTCGGACCCCCCCCCATCGGCACGTTTGCGGGGCGCTCACATCAGAGCTGTGATGGAGCACACCCGCCTGCGAGTCACCAAAACCGGAAGTCCAAATGAACTTCTTTTATTGATGGTACAGTCAGGAGGGCCTTTCCCTGTGATCTTAATTCTTGGGCAGGAACGTATGGGAAAATACGGTCCTTCTGATACCTTTGTTCCTAAGCTGTATAGGGTCAGTTTGGTGTAGTGGTTAAGTGCGTGAACTCTAATCTGGGAGAACCAGGTTTGATTCCCCACTCCTCCATTTGCAGTTGCTGGATGACCTTGGGCAAGCCATAGTTCAGTCAAAGGACAATTCTGGAAAGAGCTCCACCATCCCCACCTATCTCACAGAGTGTCTGTTGTGGGGAGGGGAAGGGAAAGGAGTTTATAAGTGAGACTCCGAGTTAAGGGTGGGGTATAAATCCAATCTCTTCTTCCTCTTCTCTTCTTTAAAGAACAATTCAGGGTTTGACATCTAGGAGACTATTTGTACATGATATGTAATCTGAGTTGCAAAGCAAAAGTTTGTTAAAATTCTGCTTAATGAATTTTGGTTCAGTTGTGTTCTGTATACGAATATTTACCTATCACTACGATTGGGTGAATTATTGGCATGCTGCTGCATAAAAGTTATAGTAATCCCAGGTCTCTTTATTTCACTTTATCAAACCTCTGTTTCAGGGAAAACATGCCAAGCCATTTCAAATTCAAGGAGTACTGTCCTATGGTATTTCGCAATCTGCGTGAGAGATTTGGAATTGATGATCAGGACTTTCAGGTAAGGTTTCCTACATTGATAAACATCTATTTGATAACTTGCAGTCCTGCTGATTGTAAGCAGGGAAAAAACGTGTGGATGGAAGCTGAGATTTGGATCCTTTGATTGCAAATTTATGTAACTTGAAGAGGAGGATGTGCCACCTAGTTAGATGGTTAAGGTTGCTATGTTCTCAGTTGGTGCCTGTATCTTTTTAATGCACTGAGTAAATCTGCAGCTACTGCACTGCCCATTCCTCCCAGGTCACTTAAATCCTCATTTGGAATTTTGTGTGCAGTTCTGGTCACTAGTTCTCAAAAAGGATATTGCAGAGCTGGAGAAAGTACAAAAGAGAGCAACCAAGATGATTAAGGGGTTGGAGCACCTTTCCTATGAGGAAAGGTTGAAGAGTCTAGAACTTTTCAGTTTAGAAAAGAGACAGCTAAGGGGGGGATTTGCTAGAGGTTTACAAAGTTATGAATGAGACAGAGAAAGTAGAGAGATTTTTCTTCTTCTCCCATAATAGTAGAGTTTAGGAGCACCCAACTATTTCTTGGAAATAGTTTCAGAACAAATCAAAGGAAATACTACTTTACTCAATGAATGAGTAGATGGTGGAATTTGCTGGCAGTGTATGTAGTGATGGCCAGGAGCCTAGCCATAGATGGCTTTAAAATGAGGTGAAATAAAGTTTTTTAAAGTTATTTGGCCCACACAAAATTACACAAATTTATGGTGGAGAAGTCCACCAATAGCTACTAGCCATGGTGACTAAAGGGAACCTCCATATGCAAAGGCAGCAGATTTCTGAATACCAGTGGTAGAAGGCAGCATCAAGGGCAAACCTCAACCTCTAAGCCCTATTTGTTTGGTCCTCCATGGTAACAGGTTGGCTGCTATGTGAAACCAGTGGTCTGATCTAGCATGCTGTATTTATGTCTTATGAAACAGAAATTTTGCAAATTTTAAAAGCCTGTTTTTGAGAAGAAAAACGGGGTGAGTCAGTGTTATAGGTGGGCCTTGGTGTAACCTAAGTTAAACTTTATTGAAAATAATTTTTGGAAATCTTGACAATAGCGCAGTTTTATGACTGAAGGCAAGAAATGTAAATGTCTGTAGTCTGAAATGTTACATTCTTTACACTAGAGGAATTTATTATGGGACCCTTGGGTGGTTTCTTAAACCTAGGTAAGGTAACATATGCTGATATTTCCTAGATGAAGAAGAACATCAAGAAATGCTCCATCTCCACAGTTGTGTTACACTTTTCATTTGTTTATTTATTAATCTTTCCTTCCTCCGTATTTGCTGCTGCTTCTTTCTCCACCATGTAATATTTCCCAGTTGTGCACTTACCCACAACAGTAAACCTGCTGTGAGTCAGTCTTGTAAACTTTCACATAAAGAAAAATGTGTGTTCAACTGAACCAGAGGGCTAAACTGAAAGAACAATAATGATGCTTTATAGCTGCAATTGATAATCTTTACAGGGTACATTTGCTGCAGAGAGAAAGTTCTTTCCACAAACTTTCCACGTCACCCACTGGGTTTCTTTTTTGGGGGGAGCATTCTGTAACCCTTGTAGGTTTGCTCAAAGTTTTTAATCACAAGTCTTAATAAGGTACTCAGTTTCTGGGTTCAAAACAGCATGCAGGGAGGAGATGGGGAGCTAAGGAATCTGAAGACCCTGCTGCGTGAATGCAAGATGCTGTCACTGAAGAGCCGGAACAGAGTAGGGATTAGGGACCTGCTCTTGGGCCTGGAGAGATGCTGCTGAACTATGAAGGTTGCTGGGTGGATGACCTTGGGCCAGTCACGCTCTCTCAGCCTAGTGTACATCACAGGTTGGTTGTGACGATAAAATGGAGACGAGGGGGCATTACATACTGCCCTGAGCTACTTGGAGAAAGGGGGAAGGATACAAATGTAACATCTAGATAAGTATGTATTTGTGGGCATGACCACCTCGCCCCAGAAAGCTTTGGAGCTATTTTACAGAGGGCATGAGAGGGCTGACTGTTTCCCTCCTCCACTTACATGAATAAGAGTGCTTTCTGCTTATGCAGTGGGATTGTTGGATCTAAGCCCATAAAGAACAAAATTAGTACAAGCTTTTGGGCAGGCTCTTTTTTTAACATTTGTCAAAAGCTGGCCACATCGTTCTAAATGGAGAATAAAGTACGTATTTTCATCTTGGTTCAATTTGTTTGGTAATGGGCATATCCCTATCAAGAAAGCTAAGATTCGCTGATAGGACATCGAAAAATCCTTTAGCGGTCTCTCCTGGGAGAGCTGAAGTTGGGAAGAACATATGCTTATTTAAGAATTTCACTATTAAGGGTTTTTTCCCCCAGCGTGTTTTGATGCAATTGGATTTTCTCTGCACTGGTTATTTTTCGTTAGTACATCCCATCTATAAATAGAAAATCTCTTGCAGTGCTTCCTAAAGATGTTCAGGCTCAAACTACACATAGCGTTAATCACATGTAATTTCCCCCCCGACATTTTCTATTTTTATTTAAAGCAGCTGCTAAGGCTTCAGTCTTCAATGGGAGTCTGGGGACAGGCATCTCTAACTCTCTCTTCTCTGCAGGTTTTCCACCTTCATTTCACCCTGCCAGCTGGAAGTGTGTGGGGTGGAGAGAGGGAAGTACCCATATCTTTTCACCAACAGGGCCTATATACCTAGGGTGGGAGCAGTTTTGATGTTTTGTGCCTTCCTCCTCCCAATCAGTCAGTGACTGATTTTAATAATAGAAAAGGAAGGGAAAGTGGCAGTTTGTACAGTGAACATTATTCTTTTATTTATTGATTGATTGATTGATTTATATCCCCCCCCCCAAAGGCTCAGGTAAAAGGAAATAATTGAAGAGCTTGAAGGGTGTACAGTATGCTTTAAAAATCTAGAAATATTACCCTTAAAACAGAGAGTAAATGAGAATGAACAAACAAGCCTAGTTCAAATATGTTCTGAAACAGTGGGGAGGGGTATGAAGACAAGTCCATGTTTTTGTTTTTGGAATATTTATATACTGCCCTTCAACCACAAATGCCCGAGGAAGTTCATAACAATATAATAAATTAAAACCTACATTTAAAAATGCTACAGTCTACTTTAAAACTCCAAACTCCAGGGAAATCCATTAAAAAGCTAAAAGCATTTCCAAAATGTCAGCAGCAGTAATCTCTCTATATAATAATGCTGTTTTAAAGTGGCAACATTCCATGTGCTCCCATTGGCTGTAAAATGCTCTCCCTCAGCCATTGTCCCACCAGTCGCCACTCAAGAGTACTTGCGTGCCATTGGCCGGGTGCTGGGTCTGCTCCTTTTCCTCGCCCACTCCCCCTTCAGCCACTCTGCCTGGCTTTCTCTCTTGACAAAGACGCTTCTTTTGCTTTCCTCCTGTGTGGGAGTAACATTTCCCTCAGTGGCTGTTGGTAAGTGTAATGAAATGGCAGTTACCTGTGATTGTTTAAAATGTTCCGCCATAAGGTTTAATTGAGCTGTAGTTCCAGAGAGGGGCCTGTAGTAGTATCACTCACTGGGTTGAATGGGGCCGCCTCATCTGCTGGACTACACTTCCCAGCTGCCCAAAGGCCAAAAAGAGCGGGAAGAGAGGGACTGTCCCAAGGGGCAGGGCAGCATCAATATAGACTCCAGCCCATTCAGGGAGGAGGCAGTCTTCGTCCTACAGGAGGCTAGGAAAGGCTCCTGCTGCCTGTGCTGACCAGGCTGTTCAGGCCATAGTGGGAACCCTGGGAGGCAGCAGAAATTCAGCCACTCCACAGTCGGCTGCACTGGGGAATGAATGGAAGTTTCCCTGCTCTCTTGGGCCAGAGAGAGAGAGACTAGAGCAGAGAGCCAGAGGCCGGTGTGTAGGGTAAGAGGATGGCGTTTGACCCCTGTGGGTTTATGCTGTGTTGCTTCATACAATTGGTTCATACACTCCTGCAGTGAGTGTGCACGCCCCATAACTGTGTAAATAGTCAGATAAATTCTTTTATTTGGGCAATTTATTTGGATTTATTTGGATTTATACCCCGCCCTTCACTACCCAAAGGTGTCTCAGAGCAGGTTACAAACTCCTTCCCCTTCCCCTCCCCACAACAGACACCCTGTGAGGTCGGTGGGGCTGAGAGAACTCTTGCCAGAAACTGCTCTTTTTCAAGAACAGCTGTGCCAGAATTATGGCTTGCCCAAGGTCATCCAGCCAGGTGCAAGTGGAGGAGATGGCAGAGATCAGTTCCCCTGGAGAAAATGGTGGACTCTGTGACCTTATATCCTGCTGAGCCCCCCCCCCCATGACAGCCAATGTGATGTGGCAGTCAGGGCTTCAGAGTACAGTGGAGGCTGTAGGTGGGTGGGTGTGAGATGGAAAGCTGAAGAGTGAAGGAGAAATAAAGATAGGTTGATGAAGAGTGAAGGAGAAATAAAGATAGGTTGATGAAGAGTGAAGGAGAAATAAAGATAGGTTGATGATTGGCTGGGAAGGAGATAGGGTTGCCAACTCCATGTAGGAAATTCCTGGATATTTGAGGGATGGAGCCTGGAGAGGGTGAAGTTTCAGGAGGGGTGGGGAACCTCTGACAGGTAGAATGCCATAGACTCCACCCTCCAAACCAGCCATTCCCTCTTGGGGAACCATTGTTGCCCATCTCCAGGTGGGGGCTGGAGATCACTCAGAATTACAACTGCTCTCCAGAAGGGAGGGGAAATCTGAAGTCCGAGGGGCAGATAAAGATAGGTTGATGGTTGGCTGGGAAGGAGATAGGGTTGCCAACTCCAGATTGGGAAATTCCTGGAGATTTGAGGGGTGGAGCCTGGAGAGGGTGGGGCTTGAGGAGGGGTGGGACCTCAGACAGGTAGAATGCCTAGACTCCACCCTCCAAACCAGCCATTCCCTCATAGGGAACCATTGTTGCCAAACTCCAGGTGAGAGCTGGAGATCACTCAAAATTACAACTGTTCTTCAGGTAGCTGAGTTCAGTTCCTCTGGAGAAAATGGTGGACTCAGTGTCAT